TTCTGTCAATATGGGGTGCTGTGTGTACATTAATGAGGAAAAAAATGAACTTAAATGATTTTAGCATATGGCTGCAATATAACAAAGAGTGAAAAATTTAAGGGGGTCTGAATACTTTCTGTACCCACTGTATTTTAAATTGCAGACTTACCTTTCCCAGTGTAACTGTGTGAAGTTCAGACCAGATGTCTGTACCGGACCTCTTTCTTTCTAGACCCTGCTGGGATCAGGGCTTTGCAAATGTGAAAGAAAGCTTTGTCTAGTCAGCACAGTTTGCCCTATAGACTGCAGAACACTATAGGACTAGTGAGCTGCAGCAGCTGCTTTGTCTCTGTCAAAGCTCCCTCTGTCTGTGGAAAACACTGTACAACTGCAGTTTCTCAAATGACTACAGTGAGAGTTGCAACATCTGCCTTTACTGGTATGAATGCCAGACACCTACATGCAGACTGAAAGGATAGACAGGGCAGCAAAGAAGAAAGGCTTGGTTTGCTTCAATAGGTACTTGACATGAAATGGACAATTACGCGGCAGTAAACCTTCATAGGTTAAAGATGTACATCGAACAGGAAGCAAATCTGCAGTGTTGTCATGCTCTAGACTCATGTTTGCATGCTGCACAGATTTGTTAAATAACCTCAGGAAGGACAATGTTATTTTAAAATCAAGTATTTAATGTTCATTTGAGTTGTGTGTGGGTGGAGTTTACATGAGAGTCCTCATCCTTCTGAATGAGCCCACAATGGGGTTGTGGCAGCCCCAGTCACCACAGGCCCTGTACTCTCCAGGGCGCAGGAAATATTGGCGTCCCCTGTAGTTAGGGTGCTCGTAGAAGATCCAGTAACCCTCCATGACGTTGCAGGAGTAAATGTCACGGTAGTGGAAGCGCTCATAGACACTGGGGCAGTCATCCGTGAACTCCATTGTGTGTCCCATCATGTCAGGACTATTATAGATCTTCATCCTGTAGGATCCTCTATACTGTATGTTAAAGAAATCAGAACATGGTTATTATGGTATTTTTATAGGTGCAACCCCAGAGAGCAAAGCTTCCTGCCCTGAGCTCATTTCATCTTTGAATTCTAGTCAGTACTTGTACTACTCCTGTTTCTACAAATGAGAATGAGCAACAACTGTTTTGCAGCATGACGGAATTAAACAACTGAGAAACACTGAATGTGACTAATGGAATTAGAATAAGGGCATGAAGGTAGAACGTCTTATGGGAGATGTGACGTATTCCTTTTAAAGGCTGACTGGGTCTCCTTGTGGGCCTTGCAGCAGACATTTTTATGCTATGACCGGACTGAGCATCTGTCAATTACATCAAAAGGCCAGTGATCAACTTCCATTTCTAAAGTGGCATTTGATGTACAAGGTGAGCTATGATTGGCGGGGGTCTCTCTGTTTGATTGACTTACAGGGGGGAACATCTGGCAGGAGCGGATGCAGTTGTTGAAGCCCATCCAGCAGTTGTAGTCAGGGTAATCGCCAGAGCTGAGGATGTACTGGTAACCCATGTAGTAAGGCTTCTCATAGGCCACCCAGTGGCCACCACTGACACGGATGGAATTACAGCAGTTGAAGTGCCTGAAGGTGTCCACGCAGTCGCTGCTACACTCCCAGTGGCGGCCCTGGGAGTTGTGGCCTTCATAGAAGATGATCTTGCGAAGGAGAGAGAGGCATGTATCAAGTTAATGTGAGGTTTATAGATTGAGTGGCTGCGATACTCATGAACGGACTGTAGGGGACACTGCTCTCCTGTGAACAAACTAAATGACTTTTTCATGAGCCCTATGTGTGTACAAACCTCTCCAGCCTGCTTTACACTTACAGTATGTACTTATTTTCAGTGTTTTAAAAAGTGAAAATCAAGGAAATTGAAACTGTTTGGCTCTACATGAACATTACGTACACTGTCAGCTTCTAAAATTGGATGAAACAGAAATTGTTGCTGTTGAACACATACGGTACAATGATTTTGTTATATTTAGATAAAATGTAATTGGTGATCTATAAAAATGCATCAGTTTCACACACATATAAGCACTTTTTCCCTTCAAAAGTACATTTTAGCAGATACATTTGACTGAAGTACTTTTTGCTATCTTGCTTCCTGTCTGTATTTTTTTCCCTGTTAAATTATTTGATGTGTTCCCAAATGATGCCAGTTTCTTTCTTCAGCCTTTCATCAAACCTTTCTCCTTCAGACCATATTGCATGTGAGCTCATACCTTTCCCATGGTTGCACAGCTGTGGATGCTTGCACATCGTAGCCCTATACACCCTTCCAGGTCCTTTTATACGCTCTCACTGACCACAAGGCCTCTGACACATCAGGGACTGCAACTCTTTACCTTTTCAAATGCCATCTACTGTTCCCTTTGTATGACTGCCCATGGGGAACTTGTCTCCTGTCAGCTAGAGTTTACCTATAGAATTGGCACCGCCCTCCCAAAAACCCGCACATAGAATAACAAGTGCTATTCTATGTTTGCATGACCCTTGTTCTGCTGTGACCTTGTGATGCAGCCTTTTGAAATATCACACAAAGGCCCTTTTAAAGCATACAGTGGGTTAGGTCATTTTTGGGGGGCACTCTCTAAACTAGTACTTGACTACAGTAGGCCATGGTTTTCATTTCATGGCTTGCTTGGACAGAAAATAGTAACACAGTTTTCATCCAGTCCCTGTTTAAGTCAGTATAGACTGGTACCTTTCTTAAGTGGTACAGGTTCCCATGTAATTGTTGTTCAGTTCCCGTTAAAGAAAAGTGGTGCTGATACTGTGGACAGAGTCAAGCTTTTGTGTTGATGTAATCTACAGTGATCTGTTGTTTCTTTTTGCTTCCATAGCCTGCAGTTCTACTGTGATGCCAGACGGGACTGGTCTGTTTGCAGATGTACAGACAGAACTGCTCAGTGTGTGTGTTTGTGTGATATAAAAGGAGGGGTTTGGGGCATCTGTGTGTTTGAGTCTTTGTATAAAATGATAGATGTTTGGACTTGAGTCTGTGGCTTGTAAGCATAGCCCAGAGCTGAAGGGGAAAGGCCAGAAAGAGTTGCCGCCATGTATTGTGTTCCCAAAGCCCTGCTGATGCCAGAAAGGTCAGTCTCATCCTTTAGCCTTTCATCAGGATAAAGAGCTTGTGCCCCTTCTCCACTGTGGAGCTTTTTGCAGCTTCAGCTGTGTAAAAAGGCAAATGTTTTCAGAAAGCACAATAGCTATTATGTTCCTGGGGAATAACATTGCTACTGTGGTAGTATATCCAGAGCCATATGACATTGTTTCAGTGTTAAGGAGGAGCGTTGATAAGCTTTTGCTCCTTTGATTGTTCATTGACTCAAAACTTTCATAGGCTTCAATAGGTTTCATGTTTGAAGCTGCACTCTTTTTCTGTGACATAAGCAAATCATTGATATCCTTTCATCACACTGTGCAGCGTAATTGTGACAGATTATCAGATGGGGTTTTGTTTTGTGAGGTTTTGAAGTGAATGTTTACTCCAGGAGGAAAGGTTTTTATCAGAACATATAAGAAACAAATGTGTAGATTTTCGTCATATGTTCATTTATAGATTAATGATTTCTTTCATCATGCTTGTTAAATGTAAAATCTTTTTACCCAGAAGCCATTATATTAAGAGGAAAACCATACTCTGGCTGGAAAGCATTAGTTGAAACTCCTTGTGATACAGTAGCAAGCATTTGCTGCTGCTGCTTAGTCTGACCTTTGTATTGAGAGAAGTATGTATTGTAAGTGGGGTGCAATACAATGTCTAAACCAAGAGAAACAACAAAGCTTGTATTGCTGCAACCATCATTACTATGATTCTCATTTTCATCACTGAGCAACATCAGCTAACCCCAACTCATTAATCAGGACCTTGGCTCCCTCCATATGGCTTCCAGTGGGGAACCTTGTTTCACAGGATCTCAAATGATCATCTTTAGCTGTGTTACAAGACATCTCTTCCCCACCCTGAAGGGAAAGCAACATCACAGAGGCCCTTGCCTGCTTTCTCAGTTCCCCCTGGATGAGAAGAAAGCTACCCGCTGTGGAGCGTTCCACTCTTCATCTCAGAATGATGGAAGAAAAGGAAAGGAGAAGGGAGCAGAGTGGGGGGGGGCTAGATTTGCAGCTCCATTGTGTCCGAGGAACTCGCTGTGCAATCTGTATAATCGCGTGGGACATGATGACACTATTAGCCTACAGAATGACTGTCAGTTGGGGACCTCTTTGATTGATGTGCTCCCCACAGAGAGAGGAGAAACTTTGACAGATAGCAACCCCAATGTTAGTTAACTTGCTAAATTTTCAACTAGTTGGCTTCCAGAAGAAACTTACATTTGTGCTGCTAATAACTAGTTAGGATGTGAATGTGCGGTTCACTCAGTAAACACATTTCAGGTCAGAGGAGATTTCTCTCAATTAAGAAGAAATCGTATTCCCATAATCCAAACCATGGTCTCTCTGACCCTTCTATATGCAAAAGTCTCACCCCTAAAATGTTGCAGGGAGAGATAGGAGAGCAGCCATGCTTACACTGCCTAAAATATGCTTGTCTATTGAACAGTCGTTGCAAAAACACTGTGGTACTGAGGTGTAAACAAGGGGTCTATGTGAGTTTTGCTCCTGAGAACTGACTAATCTGGTGCTGAAAATGCGGTATGATCGGAAAGCGCCTGCCAAAAAGCCTCCCACACCGGGAGTAGAATGAGGACCTCTCTTTTGCTCCGAGATCATCCTCTCCATTCTTTCTGTCAGAAAATCTCCAGGCATCCTCCCTCTCTTGTCACTGCCAGCACACCGGCTCTATCGGGATTGCCAGACGCAGGAGCCACTATGAGCTTGTGCCAGGGCCAGGATTTACCGCGATGTGTCTGATGTGCTCCATCTTTTTGCTCAGGGATAATTAAAAGAGGAAATGGTGTTGGAAGAACAGAGTGGAAAAGTAGGAGGAGGGGCTCGGACTGAGCAAATGAATGCAGCTGTCAGTCGAGTTGTTGATGTGTTATTTGTTTTTCTCCTTCTCTGAGATTTTGTGTGGAGCTGCTCCCCATCAGGATTTAGTTTTAAAGTTTGTGGCATATCTCAACTCCATACATGTATTTGAAAACATTTAGGCTGATGAAGAACTCCTCTTAGCAATGAAATCACAATAAGAATATTCAATCATTTAGGTGCAATGGTGAAAGAAATATTTGCCGCACTTTATTTTACAAGCCCACTATTTCCAAATAATTTCTTGAAAGTTCCCTGCAAAGAACAATGTAGTTTGTTATTAATTACAGAAAAAGTCACAAAGTTCAATGACTTTTTTTTTCTTAGTTAGTCCACTGACTAAAGTCGCTCACTATAAACCCCAGTTAATGCTTGCTCTTCTTCATTTATGCTGAGTTGAATGGTTGTTTTTAGACAAATTTAACATTTTGCACCTTGTGTCCTCTGAAGAAAGCCTGAATTTTGTTCTAGCTTAGCATTTAGAAATAACTGGAAGGGTATTAACTGTATCTCTTTCTAATTGTAACTGTAATTGGCACCAAATTATATGGTTCCCCCCAAGAAAACCTAGGAAATTATTTAGAAATAAACCAGAATTTACAAACCTGTAAAATAAAGTGTCACTGAAAAATGCTGTTGTACACCTAAGATTTCACCTGTTTTATAGTCCTTGTCTATTTACACTTAAGTGAGCTTTAATATTGATGTTACATAAAATGTGCTTCTAGATCCTTTTTAGAACTGCTTCACCAGTACCACACTTGATACCAGAGTTAGACCAAATTGTCCAGATTTTCGTTTATCATGGATTTTCTACACATTAGTACAAGCTATCTTTCAGGGAACCTGAACTGTTCTAATGCATTGTGCATCTTTTTTTATTTTATTTGAATACATCAACTTGAGATGCTGCACCATACAGCATGGCCCAAGCTCTGTGAAAAGCAGGACAACTCCTTTTGTCTCTCATCAGACACACTAAGGGGAGCGATGGCTTTTAGATGCTCTCACTCCTCATCTCCACACTCTGTTTTGACGTGGCATGTCTCCCATGCCCCAAAGCTTTAAAGGTTTAAAGAGCAACTTTTCACCCTGTAATCCAGGTGCCTTTCAAACAAGTCACGCTGTTTACTGACACACGACAAAAAAGTTCAACCGCCTCTCATTTCTCTGCTTATAAGACCGTACCTCACCTCAGAGCCTGGTAGTCATTCCTCCTGAGCACCATGAACAAACAGAAGCTCAGCGAGAAGGGGCGCCTGCCTCTCACCACTCACTAAATTTGTAATCGGATGTGATGCTGTTGTTCACTTCTTCAAATTTGTCATCAAAGCAAATGTGTTCTGACAACAGCTAGTGACAAGTGCACCAGAGGAGAGGCAGCAAATCAGCTTTTTCACATCGCATATCAATTATTGATCATGTTACAGCCACCCCACCCCAGCAAGTAGACACCTTGTGATAATGAAATACATCAATTTAAAAAATAAATAATAAACTGGGGTCGGCTCCATTGTTGCAAAGCCTTAAGAGCTTGATTGACTGCCTGCACAGTTTCCTCGTTGGCAGTCAGGCAGATCAAAGGAAGGTTCCTCTTATTGCCCAAGGCCACTTGCAATTTATTTAGAGGAGCAGCGCTGCTGTCCCAGCAGGTAACATTACTGGGCAGAGACACTGAGGA